GGGGCTTGAATTAGGGAAAGAATCCTGGCAGGGGCTTGAAATCTAGAAATGGCACTATGAGCAGAGGAGGGGGAACTTAGGGTCACTGAACCTGGAAGAGGCTGTCCCAGCCATCCTAGCACCTAAATTCAATGCCAGGCACACATTAGCAACCAATAAAGGTGTGTTAAGCAAGCTGAACTAGATGTCTACCACTAGAAACGTTTTCACCCTGGACAGATGACAGTTGTGTGGGCAATGTGAGACATTGGATTAAACCTGAAAAATCATCCTTCCTGGAAAGAGTGTTAGGGGTGGGTAGAAAACAGGAAGGGGATACCTTATCTCCCCTGGGGAGATGTGTTCACTCATCTGAGAGGGGAGAGAGGAGGGGGCACTGTGAAGGGGGAGAGCCTAGCCTCTCACACACACCCCTGCCCCCCGACCCGCCCCTGCTGGGGGACTCTGGAGCTTCCTTTCCCAGCAGGAGCAGGTCTCAGCATGAAAACCTCCCCAGCCGGTGCCTTTCTCCAGCTCAAACTCGTCCCCAGGCAAAACAGAAGCCCTCTGAAGCTTTCTCAGCATCTGGGCTTCCCCTAACATCCCCCTTCCCACACACACACACCCAGCCATGCACAAACAGGATTCCCAGAACCTCCATGCCCAACCAGGATGTCTCCCTCCCTCACACAGCCCTTCCCCTTCCTTTCCTCTGCTCAGCGTTTCTGCCTCCTCCCTGCTGCACAGATAGCATCCTGATGACCCAGCAGCCAGGCACAGTAACGCAGCCGTGGAGCCTGGGCTTAGCCCGCAAGTCTCTGGAGTGACACTCAGGCTGACTGGCAACAGCAAGAAGAAACTGTTGCAACAGCAAAACCTCCCACCCAGAGTTGCCGGGGCAACTCCGCCCCCTCTCCCCACCTGCCACCCCCTAAAAAATGACTGAGGGTTGTGTTATGCAGCGTCTGGCGAAATAATGCCTCCAAACTGCAAACTGCTGATGGCGACAGCTCATCACAGAGCAGGGGTTATGCTTGACTGGTCCCAAGTACAATTATCCCCACCCTACCCAGCCTGATCAGGGTTGAGGGAAGCTGGGACACGGGACGGGAATGGCTAATGGGGTATGAGTGCATCTGTCACTGGAGTGGGAAGGAGGTGGGTGTGGATGGGAACAGGAACGACTGTGTAGAAGTGAAGGGAGGATCGTGCAAAAGAGAGAAGGAAAGGGACGGAGGAAAGAGCAAGGGAGAGGAATGGAGCAGAGCAGCAGCTGCCAGGCACTGCACAGTGCACATCCCAGGCACGTCCCATTTAATCCTCATACTATGAAGCAGGGAATATTCCACATTACACATGAGGAAACGGAGGCTTGGAGGTTGAACAATTTCCCCAAGGTCATTGGTCTACCACAGGGGTGGAAGGGACGACCGGCATTGTTTAGAATGGCCAATGCATGTTGAAAATTGTTAATGAGCTGGTTGTATTTGGTTTGAAAGTTCTCTGCAGATAAGTTTCCCCTAGTGCCTGCACCTGTGGCAGAACCTGGCCACCACCCTGCCCTTGGTGTAGCACTATCCAAAATCATACTGCTGGTCAGTGACAAAACTGAGTTTACCCAGGTCCATCTGACTCTAAAATCAGTCTTTTCGGTCCTCACCAGGGTTCTCTAGGCAGGCCATGCCTCCCACTCCCTTCCCCTTTCACCTCCACCAGACAGCCTCTGGTGCCCCTGCTCCAATCTCCTGGAACCCCTTGCCTGGCCTCAGAGGACTGGGTTGCTCTTTCAAGCAGCCTGGCTCAAGCCCCAAGAGGCTGGAGCTGGAGGGCAAACTCGATTGGTTCTCCTGCGAGCTATTGAGTTTCTGCACCACCGTCCCCTCCAGGGGCATTCCTGTCCATTTGGGACCCTGGAGTCTCTTTTTCCTGAAATATCTGCAAAACTAAATGCCCAAATTCCTCTTTTTTATACTCCCTGTTCCTTTCTCCTGCTGCTTTTAATCTTTGCAGCCTTTTCCATTCACTCAACAAAACTATACAGAATGCCCGCCATGTGCCCCACTCTACTGATCCCTGAGGACCCCCAAGGAGAGCAAAATGCACAGCGGTGTCTGCCTCCTAAAGCTTCGCTCCAGCCAGGGCAAATCAACAGCAACAGCCAAATCCACGCAGGAGAGGACCTCCAATGGCTTTAAGTGCTGAAGAGAGAAGGAAGCCGGTCAGGCGGGCAGGGAGGACAGGAAGCTTCCTATAGAAGCTGAGAAGATGACATATGAACAAAGCGCTGGAAGAATGTGCAGCTATTTGAGGAAGAAGGTTCCCAGCAGAGAAAACAGCAAGGGGTAAGCGTCTGAGGCAGGAGTCCTTCTGCCTGTTTAATGGACAGCCAGGATGCCCAAGTGGCTGGAGCAGAGTGGGCAGCAGGACAGGTAGAAGGGATGAGGTCAGGGAAGCGGGAGGCACGCTTCATAGTGTCTTACAGAGCATTGACTCTGAGTGGGTGGGAAGCCATGGGAGGAGTTCGAGGATGGAAATGGCATGATCTGGCGTGTTTTTAAAGGATCGCTCATGGTGCTAAGAAACGTCTGAAGGGGCAAGGGAAGAAGCTGGGAGACGAGCTGGGCGTGTAGTTCAGAAGATCCTGTAGGAAGAGATGGGCCTGGGCCAGCATGGGAGCGGCGGGGCGGTGAGACGGGGTAGGAGTCTGGATGTATTTTGAAGGGAGAATTTGCCGATAAACTGAATGTGGGAAAAGAAAAAAAAAAAAAAAAACACAGAGAACAAAAGGACGACTCCAGGATTTCTGGCCTGACCTAGTGCGGAGATAGTGAGGTTGGCAAGCGGAACATACATAGTAGGAACAATTAGGAGAACAGTTTTGGTCATAAAAGTCAGTCCTCTGTGTCTGTGGGTTCCGTATCTGTGGATTCAATCAACTGCAGATTGAAACTATTCCAAAAAAAATTGCATCTGTGCTGAAAAAGTACAGGCTTTTTTCTTGTCAATAGAGCATAACAACTCTTTACATAGCATTTACATTGCATTAGATATATCATCCAGAGATGATTTCAAGTATACAGGAGGATGTGTGTGGGTTACATGCAAATACTACGCAATTCTATATCAGAGGCTCAACGAGCATCCATGGATTTTGGTATCCACAGGGGGTCCTGGAAGCAATTCCCTGGGGATACCAAGGGATGACTGTATTAAGTTTGAGATGCCTAAATGGTATCCAAATAGAGATGTTGGTTAAAATATATGTGTAGCACTTAGGGGTAGGGGGGTCTGGTGTAGAGAGATGCCTTGGCACGCATGAATGAATAGATGGTATTTAAAGTCGCGAGCCTGTATATATCACCAAGGCAATGAGTCTAAAGAAGAGAATAGACACACAAGGATTGAGCCCAGGGACTCTGCAGCATCTAGAGGCTGGGGGTATAAGGAGGAACTGGCTAAGAAGACTGAAAAGAGTAGCAAGAAATAGAGAGAATAAAGTGTCTCAAAATCGAAAGAAGAATGTGTTTCAAGAGAAAGGGCATGGTCAGCTATGTGAATACTGCTGATAAGTCAAGTGAAGTGAGGGCTGAGGACAGACCATTGAATTTAACATGGAGGCAGTGGTCTTGATGAGAAGTACACACTTGTTATTTTTTTCTGCTTCGTTTCCCCCTTAGACATACAAATGATAGCTGGAAAAAGAAAATACCGCACAAATGAGCTGGATGCTTCTGGTCAAAAGCACACATCCCCTTCCAAGTAGAATTTCAAGCATCCAGCCAAACGTGCATTTCCCTGGGCACAGGACACACTAGAACAGAAAAGGCAAACACCAGCCTGGCTCAGGGTCCTAAGAGAGCTGCAATATTGATAACAATGATAATACTCAGCTGCTGGATGTTATCTTTTGCTGGAATGAACTTTTCATTTTTTATCCAGATGCATATTGTGTCTCTCTATCCTAACCAAAGATTCATCAATAATTCAAGGAACCTTAATGAAGAGGCCTATAAATCTGCCCTACGGTATATTTGGGGGCTAAAAATCATGTAGTTCACTTTCCACACATAAACTTTCCAACACTTTGGGCTCAAATCATGCCACAAAGTGCTGACTGCTGGAAGTCCTCCAGATAAATCTTCTACTGGGCATGGTGATGTCCGCCTGCTACTCGGGAGGTGGAAGCAGGAGAATCACTTGAGCCCAGGAGTTCAAGACCAGCCTGGGCAACACAGACTCTGTCACTTAAAAAAAAAATTAAGATAAATTGTTCCCTACTACCATGAAGATAGAGACTGTCTTTTTAATCTCTGTACCCTAAGCACCAAGCACACTGCTGGATACATAGTAGGCACTCGAAAACTGTTGAATGAATGAATATTCTGAGTGTCTCAAGTCACAGAAGTGTCTACACTAGCCCAAATGAGCTTTACTGTAGATTCGACTCTTGCATAAACAGCCATATTGGATAAAACATGGCAGAAGGTTTTTTTTGGTTATTTAATCTATCTACAGAGACGCAACAAGCTGTATTTTCTCTGTGTCACTTCCCACTTGGAGATGTGCAGACCACGTCTCTCTTTTGCACACACCCTGACCCCTGTAGAGGGTGAAGTCTTCACGGATGCATCCCTCGTGAGCCTCCTGCTGGAGTCTCACCATCCTAACTTTCTGGTGGTTAGCCACACTTACAGTGAAAAAACCTATTGCATTTATGACCAAACCAAATTAATGTCCCCATAATGGCAATTGTGGTAGACTTATGGGGAAAAAATAGGACTATAATGTTTATGTGTTTATGTGTTTTTAATATTTATTGGTTTGCTGTTACGGCCCTCATCCTGATGAGACTAGGTGTGTCTGAGTTAACTCACCGTCAAGGAGGTTATAGGCATGAAGAGTTTCTGCTAACTACCCAAGCTCATAAATGCCTGCAAATGGCTTTTCTCGTTTTTATGGGGCCAAGCCTCAGATCACCACACACATAAAAGGGGTGCACAGGATCCACTAGCCTCAGAGGGACTCCCAGCTCCAGCTCGTCCGTTCTACGCTCGTTCTTTCACTCCCAACCAGGAAGCTGCCATGTCTTGCCGCTCCTACCGAGTCAGCTCTGGTCACCGGGTGGGCAACTTCAGCTCTTGCTCAGCGATGACACCGCAGAACCTGAACCGCTTCCGGGCCAGCTCCGTCTCCTGCAGGAGTGGGCCTGGCTTCCGGGGCCTTGGCAGCTTTGGTAGCCGGAGCGTCATCACCTTTGGATCATACTCACCCCAGATGGCATCTGCAGGCCCTCGGCCCGTCCGCTGTGGAGTCGGCTTCGGTGCTGGCTGTGGGATGGGTTTTGGTGATGGGAGAGGTATTGGTCTGGGGCCTGGGGCTGGCAGCTGCGTTGGCCTGGGGTTTGGAGCTGGCAGTGGCATTGGCTATGGCTTTGGCGGCCCTGGCTTTGGCTACAGAGTTGGAGTCCCAGCAGCCCCATCCATCACAGCAGTGACTGTGAACCAGAGCCTGCTGACCCCCCTCAACCTGGAGATTGACCCCAATGCCCAGAGGGTGAAGAAAGATGAGAAGGAGCAAATCAAGACCCTCAACAACAAGTTTGCCTCCTTCATTGACAAGGTACCTGTGATAGCTGAATCTCGGGGTCTAGGAATATTACAGCCAAAATGCACTAGAATGCTCTTTCCCTTAAAAAGAACTGGCTAAGTTCTGGGAAGTGACCCTGACCCCAGATCTTTCAAGTGTCTATCTAAGGCATTGTGGTATGCCTTCTGGGTTGCTCTGCTGCAGAGCAAGGACAAGCCAGAGGCCATGCTGCGTGGTAGGATAGACTCAGACAGTGATGACATCTTCTGGAAGACAGAGGAACCTCCAGCCAAACTCGAGGGCATCTGGACACGTGTTCCATCTGGTCACTTAGAAATGTCTCTGATACAGGCTGGAAACATTGGGACTTCAGCCAGGTGTTGGCTGATACATGTTTAAGAGGTTTTATTCTTCGAGATCCTTTTGTTCCTTATTAAGCTTTCATAGTTTCTGAGGCTGAGTGACCTCATCTGTCCAAGCTTAGAAAAGTAGAGAATGGAGTTGAGTAATTAAAAAGAAAAAGGAATTCATACCCCCCAGATGGGGTATCAAAATTCGGCCAAGTTGCCTAGATTCAGGGAAACCATAGGGAGTGGCCGCTGGTAGTCACTGGTCTCCAGGCAGGTGAGTGGGAACAGCGATGTGGATCACCCAAAGAACTGACATCCCACACACCATGTCTATGTGGAGATAGAATGGCTGTGTCTGAGAATGGAAGAAGACTTCTGTAAGTTTTGGTTTCTTCCTCTCTAAAATGAGGGGCTGGAGTAAAGAATCTGTAAGTTCTCTTCCAGCTCTACACAGCTCAGCCAATGGAATATCTGAGATGTTGGGTAGGACTTACAATCAGAATTCCCACCTCTTAGTACCATTTCCCACCCCAAATGCAGTTTACTCTGCTCCTCATTCTCTGCCAGGGATGGCTGGCATCCGTTTTCAGATACAGCCAAACCCTAGCTTAAACAGAATCAACCCTTCCACCTTTCTGATGAACAGGTGTACATCTTTCTTAGAGGGTAGATAAGCAAATAGTATTGAAGTGCTGTGGTTCAAAACCCCGTATTGGTATCTAGGACTAGCTGAGCACAAGGAGGGAGTCACAACCCGCCCTTCCAGATTCTGCTGAGTTAGAGGAGGAATGAAACTCAGCAGAGGAGAGAACGCTGCGGACACGTGGTCGAGTCATAGCCGGCCATCTCAAGAACTTGGTTGAGGTGTGAACCCTCTCAAGCACTACAAATGCCATTTCTGTGCCCTGTGTGCTTAGGTGCGTTTCCTAGAGCAGCAGAATAAGCTCCTAGAGACCAAGTGGAGCTTCCTCCAAGAGCAGAAATGTGTCAGGAGCAATCTGGAGCCACTCTTCGAGAGCTACATCACCAACCTGCGGAGGCAGTTGGAGGCGCTGGTCAGTGACCGGGCCCGGCTCCAGGCTGAGAGGAACCACCTGCAGGATGTCCTTGAGGGCTTCAAGAAAAAGTGAGTGACATCTGAGCCGCACAGACCAACGACAGGCCTGGGCTGGCCCCAGGCCCCGGAATCCACCTCCAAGCTCAGATGAGAGCAGCCGGAAGGATCAGGGTTGAATGCTGGTCGCCACCTCAAGCCTGGGGACAGGGTGGCGGGTAGTGATATGTGAACAGAGAGGAGGAGGCCCTCCTGAGGAAAAAGGTGTCCAGATCCAGCATCTTTTTCAGTGGGGTCCTGCTTGCTCATAGTCAAGCGCAATGATCCTAAGTCATTTCTATCAGAGGAACATAGCAATAGACCAGGGTTTCAGATCCCAAACCCACGTTAAGAAAGTGGAAGAGATTTGTAGAAACTGAGAGGCACTGGCTTACGAAAGGTCGTGAAGGTGCGCCAGAGGGGATGATGTTGTATTACGCAGGTAGCAACAGGATCCCATGCTCCTGCATGGACTGAGAAGTCTCGAGAGGTTCACTGGGGAATTGGGAGTAACTGGCTCTCAGTTCAGAGTAAGAACTTCCCTCTTAACTTTTATCACCCCAGGTATGAAGAGGAGGTGGTATGTCGGGCCAATGCTGAGAATGAGTTTGTGGCTCTGAAGAAGGTAAGGGGGAACCACAGGCCAGGCCAGCTTCTCCTCTGGACTGGCAAATGTTCCCAAGACTCCCGAGGAAACTGCCCAGGCATCCTTGTGGAGTCTGGGACTACTCACACCAAGACAGTGGAACCCCAGAGATCACAATAAATTTTCTACAAAGTTCAGGTTCAGCCTCAGATTCTTTAGGATGGGGTCACATGAAAGGAGAGGTGCCTATGTTCAGCATCTTCTTCAGCTCAGTCCTGCTTGCTCTATAGTCAAGTACAACAATCCTAAGTCATTTCTATCAGAGAAGCATAGCAATAGACCAGGTTTTCAGATCCCAGACCCATGTTAAGAAAGTGGAAGCCTCCTCTGGAACCCTCTTTGTAGGCCAGTCCCAAGCCCCTTGGTTCTTCTATTAAGGTCTTTGGATATAGGAATTCCTAGACCACCCTGTGCTAAAATGGTATCTTGAATGACCTAAGTATCTTGGATTATCTAGATTTTCCCTGTCTCTAACTGAACATCAGAAAATGTCCAGCAGCCCCTGGGGAGATGCTGACATTGTAACAGGGAGAAGAGCAAACGTCACTGAGCTTTGCTTCTATCCAGTGACTTTAACCATCTGTGGGAAGTGGCTGCATCTTTGCATCCATCTCCAGACCCAGGTGGGAAGGTGAAGCAGTGCCCAGGCGATGAGCATGTATCCTTCTCTCTTTTCTACAGGATGTGGATGCAGCTTTCATGCAAAAGTCTGATCTCGAGGCCAATGTGAATACCCTAACTCAGGAAATTGACTTTCTAAAAACCCTTTACATGGAGGTGAGGGCTCATCTTCTCTAGGGCATTCAAGGGGATCCGTGCTTGGCCTGGGCTCCCTGAGGACTTAGTCTGGACTAGCATATTTTCAAACATTTGCTATCATGTATCTTTCCTCCCACTCAAATCTGTACGCCCTGTATGCCAATGTATCTTCAAATGGGGACAGGAAGGTGAGCAGGCTTTTCAGCAGCCTGATGCAGGTCAAACTCTGCATCTATGATCCAAATCCTTACTGGCCAATCTAAAGACTAGGATCTTAAAAACGTCACTTCCTGTGTACTGACCAGCAGAGTAAAAAATTGATTTTCCAGGACAGGTAAGAAAAAAAATGTGTTCGACCTAATTAGCCAAACGAGCTGTCTTTTGCCTCATAAGCAATCTGTCCGGTGTGGTATAGACCCAGCCAGAGCTGAATTGCTAGCTCTAAGCGAAAAAGGTGAGGAAAACTTCCTCTGGAACTCTCTTTGCAGGCCAGTCCCAAGGCCCTTGGTTAAGGATGTTGGATACAGGAATTCCTAGACCACCTGTGCTAAAATATTGTCAGATCTCAATGGTCTGTGACCAGCACAGCCACTCTGTGGATAATCTAAGAAGAGTTTAAGCCCTAGAGCGGCTCCCCCTTTCTTCCATCGTATTCTTAGGTCCCCGTGGTTTCAATGCGCGCTGAGCAAAGTCGTGTGTTAAAGGGACGTCTCTAAGTACATCACGGAGTTCTAAAGTCAGCCTGAGATAGTTCTCAGACATGTCTTTTTCTTTATCTTCAGTTCGGATGGTCTTGCTCTTTTATGAACCAATGAGTGAGGCTCTCTGTCCTGAACTCCACTTCCTGGGCACCCTATGGCAGAGTCCCAGCTGCTAAATGAGACTCTGAGCACATCTGTCTCCCCAATCCTCCAACACAGGAAATCCGGTTGCTGCAGTCGCATATCTCAGAGACATCCGTCATTGTGAAGATGGACAACAGCCGTGACCTGAACCTTGATGGGATCATCGCTGAGGTCAAGGCCCAGTATGAGGAGGTGGCCAGGCGTAGCCGGGCTGATGCTGAGGCCTGGTACCAGACCAAGGTGGGCAGCAGAGCCTGGGGAAAGGATGTAGGCAGCTCTGTGGGGTAAGACTCATATACAACAGAGCAGGCCCAGGGAGGTCTCAGCCCCCCAACTCAGTGGGGGCTGTGATCTTGACCTGACCTTTGAACCCTCAAAATACCATCTTCTCGCCCCAGTATGAAGAGATGCAGGTGACAGCTGGCCAACACTGTGACAACCTGCGCCACACACGGAACGAGATCAATGAACTGACCCGACTGATCCAGCGGCTGAAGGCAGAGATTGAGCACGCCAAGGCTCAGGTGGGCAAAGGAAAGGAGGGAACCCCTCAGATTAGGGAGAAGCAGGACTTCAGGCTTCGGGAACCCCCAAGTCTAATGAGGTGAGGAAGACCATCAAGATCCAGAAACAGAGGAATGGAGGCATCAGTTCAGGAAGGCTTTGGGGGAAGAAACTGTGGAAGGGAAGGAAAGCTTCCCACATAGAAGGAAAGGGCTAGGGCAGACCCAGCCTGAAAGGTGCTGCAGAAAGAATAAGTTTACCCTCTAGATGCCATAGCTCGGGGGCAGCTGAAATCAGAAGTGGCAAAGTCAGTGGAGATAGAAGCAAGAAAAGCAATGCCCCACCCCACAGTGACATCAAACTACAGGATCTCTGATGCCTGGGAAAGCAGCCACCATGGGGTCCATTTCTGCCTTGGCCCCAGGCTATGTTCCTAATAAGAGGGACACTATTTCTGACCCAACCTGGGGATGCCTGGCACTGCCAAAGACCCCTGCAAACTGCCTTCCCTGCAGCGTGCCAAACTGGAGACTGCAGTGGCCGAGGCCGAGCAGCAGGGTGAGGCGACCCTCAACGACGCCAAATGCAAGCTGGCAGATCTGGAGTGTGCCCTGCAGCAGGCCAAGCAGGACATGGCACGGCAGCTGCGTGAGTACCAGGAGCTGATGAACGTCAAGCTGGCCCTGGACATCGAGATCGCCACCTACAGGCACCTGCTGGAGGGCGAGGAGAGCCGGTGAGTTCTCAGTTCGGCAGGAGAGTGGAGGCAGAGACTTGGGCATCTAGAAAGACCACGCGAGAGGAGGGGACAGTGAAGAACTGAGGAAATATGCATCTCTAGAGGTGACGATACCTTCTCTGCAAACGTTAGTTGCACTGCCCTTGTCAAGGAATTGGAGGAATGCTCTAGATCTGTGACTCTCAAATGCAAGTCTAGACAAGCTGCGCCAGAATCATTGGGAGTTCTGCTTGGCTGGTTTGTTTGCTAAAATTACTACCGATACATTTCTTTAAATATTTTAATTTAATGGTTTTGGGATAGGGTCTAGAACGTGTAGCTTTTCAACGCTCCCCAGATGTGTGTCTAATCAGGGGTGAGAACCACTGGTCCACAGGTCTACTCAGGCAAGGAAGCCTTTCATGGCAAATAGGTTTTCAGGAAACAACAGTGCGTGTGAAATGACTGCTTTCTTTCCCTTTCCAGGCTCTGTGACGGTGTTGGACCAGTAAACATATGTAAGAAATTTGTTTTTGTTTTTTCTTTTCACACATTTGTCTCCTCTTCAAACTTCCTTTAAACTCAGTCTGCACTGGGGTCAGGAGCCTTCTGAGATGGCCGGTCTGGTCACGACAGTCAGGGGAGCTGGGACCATCTGGTCTTGGACTGGGAGCACCTCCTCAGCTGAGGTCTGCGATCTCCCCAGAGCCTGCCTTCCCCGGAGCAAAACATTCAGAAAGGTTTGCAAGGCCTCCACAGTGGAAGACAGTCCTTTTGCTTTGAGCGGACTTGTCCTTCAAGGGCACCAACTAGGGGACTTAGAAGGAGTGGGAAGGCCTCTGCCAGGGGAGGCTGTCATCGCCTGATGGCAGGAAATGCAGCGAGGCCCTGCTGCTGCAGCCGAAGCATGGGTTGTACCCAAAGCCTGCAGGGCAGTGTGCCGGACACGGGATGCTGGGGGCACTCACAAGACAGACCCAGCCCCTGCTCTCTAGAAATCTTGAAAAGATGAGTCCTAGCCACCATCAACCTAACCCTGGAAGGATCCCAGAGCAAAGAGCAGATATTGGCATCCCTGTTTCACCCACCCAGAGAAAATACATAACTTACCAGAACTCACAAAGCAAACCAGAATTCAAACCCAGATACCTGACTCCAAAAGCACAAATGAACACTGGCATGTGGTGGAACCGAGTGCTAAACCGGGTGGGTCAGACAGTCAGAACTACATGTACTTGGAGAAGAGTGTCCCTCCCCACTCCAATGGAGGTGGTAGATGGACAGGGGAAGCCATAGGCAATGGCTTTCTGCAGGAGGTCAAGCTTGAGTGAACATTGTGGGTGGCAGGAAGGATTCTGGGTAAGACAAAAGGGCAGAAAAGAGTGTGTCGCTCCGTGGATAGGGCTGAGCTAGCAGGTTTAGTTGGATGCGAATCCTGGGTCATGGAGGCATGTCCAGGGGAGAGCAGAGGGCTACAGAGCAGAGCCACCAGTCAGTCAGGAGAGAGGTGACAGGGACCAGTGTTAGAGGGATTTTCCATGTGCTGGGCTAGGGGAAGTGTGGGGACCACCAAGGGACATAATACAATTGGAAGAGGACAGGCCTGCCATGGCTTTATGGAAGCTACTGCTCTAGCTATCTTGGTAATCCAGCTCACAGCTCTACTGGACTTTGGCCATATGTAAATGACAGTCAACCTATGGATGCATGCAGGCATCTGGGAATGGGCTGAATTTCTCATTTCAATCTGGATGTTTGATTTTTTTGTTTGTTTGTTTGAGACAGAGTCTTGCTCTGTCGCCAGGCTGGAGTGCCGTGACATGATCTTGGCTCACTGCAACCTCCAACTCCTTGGTTCAAGTGATTCTCCTGCCTCAGCCTCCTGAGTAGCTGGGATTACAGGCACACGCCACCATGCTCAGCTAATTTTTGTAATTTTAGCAGAGACGGAGTTTCACCGCGTTGGCCAGGTTGATCTCCATTCTCCTGACCTCAAGTGATCCACCCACTTCGGCCTCCCAAGTGCTGGGATTACAGGGAGGTGCAAAGCAGGGGTAGCACGGAGGTGGAGGACTGGGCCCCGGTGTCGGCAGCCTCCCTGAAGCTTTCTTCCTCCGCAGCCGTCAGCAGCTCCCGGGGTGGCCTGGTGTGTGGCCCTGAGCCTTTGGTTGCCGGCTCTACCCTCTGCCGTGGCGGAGTCACCTTCTCAACCAGCAGCAGCGTCCGCGCCACCAGCGGAGTCCTGACTTCCTGCGGCCCGAGCCTGGGGGGCGCTCAGGTCTCCCCTGCCACTGGGGACCTGCTGAGCACTGGCACCAGGAGTGGCTCCGTGCTTGTCGGTGAGCCCGGTGCCCTCAGTGTCCCCTGCCCCCTACCTGCAGAGCGGGGCTTCAGCAGCTGCAGTGGCGGCCGCAGCTCCAGCGTCCGCTTGGTGTCCACCACCACCTCCCGCCGGACCAAGTACTGAGAGCCCAGCCCCAGATCCGCTGCCCAGAGAAGAACCAGCTCCACGGCTCCTGCTTCTGCCCCCAGGGTGTGTGGGCTCTGGGCCTGAGGGTCTCCAGCTCCCCTTCCTGCTGGGAAGCCACCCCTCAGCTCTGCCCCTGCTGTTCTACCCGGCCCCATGTCCTCTCCGAGGATTTTTCACCGTGTAGATGCTCCATCGGCAGTTCCAGCCAAGCTGAGTTCTCCCTGACTCCCAATTTCTTTCCTTTGGATCACGCCTCTCTCTGTCAGCAACAGCATGGAGAAATGGCTCATTCACTGCAGTCACAACCATCAGTCCGGTGCCCTCACCACCTGTGACTGCTGGTTAATTTGGAGAACGGAGCTGACTGTCTGCACTGCAGACATCTTTAAGTCCACATCCTTCACTTCTTTCCTCTCTCTTCCTTTCCCTGGCAGGAGAAGGTTCTTTCCTTCTCTCTCTGATTGATTCAGAGGATCCCAGTCCTTGGTGGCCCCGGGCTCCCTAAGCCCTGAGGTGGCTCTTCTCCCAGTGCCTTCTGTCCCGCTGTTTCTCTTCCTGGGTGGTTGGTATAACTCCGGCATGTGAGTCCACGAGGTGGGGTGCAGGCAGAGAGGTGGGCTCTGCAACGCTCCCCGTCCTCCTGCCCCTGCTCGTGGTGTGAGGCCCAGCCCCGTCCGCTGCAGGGTTGTGTCTGCAAGCCCCAAGGAGGCCTGGGGGCCAGGTTGGGTGGGGTGCCTGTGTGCACTGCTCTTTGTGTTTCTGGGTTTTCAATAAACTTGCCAAGCTCACTTCACAGGGACTCTGGCCTCTCCTTCCGGATCACACTGGGGCTGGGGTAGCTGCCTCCTAGACTCCACCGGATCACAGCCTGCCCAGCTGAGGAGGGACAGAGACTGGTGTCCTGGTCACAGGGGAGGCACTGAGGAAAGAGGGCCCAGGCCCTTCCCTGCAGGGGCTCACAGTTCTGCGGGGCATAGGAGAGGTAGCAAAGGCTCCAAAAACAAGAGCCAGCCAGCCCACTGCCTACTACCCCCACCACCAGGGGTAGCCTTGTGCTCAGAGGCACCCTCCCCTGACCAAAGTAAGCCCTTCCAGCTATTGTTCCCCAGGTTTCACCCAACCTCTGTTCCTCCAGGATCCTTAAAGTTCCTTCCTGGTCTTTCTGTCTCTACTCTTGTCTCCATCCAACTCATTCATCACGATGCTGTTAGAAAGGCCTTTCTCCCATAACAAACTGACTGTGGGTCCCCCCAGCTCATATCCCTCAGTAGCTCCCCACTGCCTTCCAGAAATAGCCCAAGCTCCTTAACACGGCATACAAACCCTGTGTGATCTGCCCGTAGACTCCCATCCCCAGCCATCCCCTCCAGACAGCCCACTTCCTGCCTCTCATCTTTTATCTATTCATCCAGCAAACATTTGGTAAGTGCCTACCACATACCAGGCATGATGCTGGGAAAATGATAAGGGACAAAATTCAATCCTGGCCCTCGAAGAGCTTACAGTCCTGTCTGATAGAAGGACAAGGGCACAAGCATGTATTAAGAGTAGATGTCATGCTGTGCTACACAGACAAGACGCCTAGCCCAGACTTGGGGCATCATTAAATGCTTCCTGAAGGATGTCATGTCCCAGCAGAGATGCGAAGGATGGTGAATTAGCCATACTAAGAAGGAAGAAGTGTCCTAAGCAGAGGCAACAGCATGTGCAAAAACCAAGACACTGGAGAGAGCAGAAGTCTGAGGATTTGCCTGGAGTTGAAACTGACCATGACAATACTACAGAGTGCAAAACATAGCATCAGGTGGGGAAAGGAGTCAGCCAGGGCACAGTCATGAACAGCACCCTGGGCACAGCTCCACTGGGGCACATGTCTCATAGTAGGGATGGTTTGCTGGTCGGCCTCACTCCAAGTCAGTTCTTCCAAGGGAGCAGGAAGCACATCTCTCATGTTTGCATGTTCTGGATTGCCAAGACCCCTGCCAGCACCCTGAGAACCTGCAATTTGCTCTGCTCACAGCCTCAGGCCTTGCCTGATGGTGGGGCTGTCAGCCACCGGTCCTCCTGTTTCCAGGGGCTCATGACGTCCCACCTTAACTTCTATATGCAAAGTCACACACACCTCTTGGGAGCAATTTTAATATTTGAAATTAGAAAGTCATCGATGGGCCCATAACAAAATGGAGTAGACAAAGGAGAGTCAACAACTCGAAGACAGATCAGTAGAAATTATCCAATCTGAAGAACAAAGAGAAAACAAGATTTAAAAAAGGTTTTTTTTTAAGCTAGAGAAAAATAACACATTACGTATAAGAGAATTACAGTTCAAATTATCATAGATTTCTCATCAGAAACCATGAAAGACAGAAGACAGCAGCACATCACCTTTAAAGCGCCAGGGGCTGGGGTGGGGGAAGAACTGTAAACACGGAATTCTGCAGCCAGCAAAGGTATCCTTCAGGAGCAAAGGCAAAAAGAAAACAAAACCCACAAAGAAACAAAAGACATTTCAGATGAAAGAAAACTAAGAGAAGTTGCCAACTGCCAACGCGCTCTAAAAAGAAACAATATCAGAGGGAAATGTAATTTCTGGAATGAAGGAAGAACAACAGAAATCGCAAATATCTGAGTAAATATAAAATGTGTTTTTGTTTCTTTTATGTTCTTTAAAATACACATGATGGCCGGGCGCAGTGGCTCACACCTGTAATCCCAGTACTTTGGGAGGCTGAGGCGGGTGGATCACGAGGTCAAGAGATCGAGACCATCCTGGTCAACATGGTGAAACCCCGTCTCTACTAAAAATACAAAAAAGTAGCTGGGCATGGTGGCGCATGCCTGTAATCCCAGCTACTCAGGAGGCTGAGGCAGGAGAATTGCCTGAACCCAGGAGGCGGAGGTTGCGGTGAGCGGAGATCGCGCCATTGCACTCCAGCCTGGGTAACAAGAGCGAAACTCCACCTCAAAAAAAAAAAAAAAAAAAAAAAAAACATGACTATTGAAAATAAAAACGGGAACTGTTGGTGGGGTTTTAATTTATGTAGATGAACTATCTATGACGACTATCACATAAAGGGAAGAAGGTCAATGTAAGTGATAAAATATTACCTCTAAGTAGACTGTGAAAGAGTAGATTACATACGTTGTATCTCTACAGCAGCCACAAAGAGATATACTCAAAAATCAATAGAGGTCAGTCAAGGTGGCTCATGCCAGTAGTCCAACACTGCAGGAGGCTGAGGCAGGAGGATGACTTAAGCATAGAAGTTCAAAACCAGCCTGGGTAATATGAGGAGACCCTGTCTCTGTAAAACAATAATAATAAATAATAATTAATTAATAAGTGTTTTAAGTCATAGGAAAAAGAAAAAAATCTTAATATCTAAATAATCCAAAGAAGATAAAAAGGAAGAAACAGAGAAACAAACATCAGAAGGGCCAAAAAGAAAACAAATAAAATCACAGACCTTAAATAAAACAATAATTACATAGAACATAAATGGTCAAAACACACTGTCAGGGATGAAAAGCTTTCTTTTACCCATTTAGCTTTAGTGCTTGGAGTCTGTGAATTAAACTGTCAAAAGACAGATTAACAGAAGGAAAGTTTAATGGCTGATGTCTCTGTCTTTGGTAATTTATGTCACTATTAACCTCATTTAATTGACGTTATAGAGCACACCACACCAAACAGAAAAATATACATTCTTTTCAAGTGACAACAGGGAACGTTCACCCTGATAGACCTTGTAAATTATGTAGCCAGTCCTGCCTGAGTAGCTCTATATCTACTAAGTAAGCACTGAATGTACAGTTTTAAACTTTCCCACAAAGAAGAATTCAGACCTAAGTATTTTCACTGATGAATTCTATCAAACATTTAAGGAAGAATTCAGCCCAGACTCTTCCAGAAAACATAAGAGGAAGGAAAACTTCTCAATCCCTTTTGAGACCAGCATTACTCTGCTACCAAAACCAAGTGACATTATGAGAAAAGAAAGCTTCATGAACAGAAATGAAAAAAATCCTCAGCAAGGTATTAACAAAGCAAGCACAGTAACAAGTGAAAGGAAAATACGTCATAATCAATGAGAGTTTAGCCTGGGAATGCAAGGCTGTTTCAACTTTCAAAACTCTATTAATGTAATTCATGATATCAACAGACTAAATAGGTGAAACAATATAATTATCTTGATAGAGGCGGAGAAAGCATTTGAAAAAATTTAACATCCCTTCTTGGCTTAGAAAAGACAACTCTCGGCAACTAGAAATTGAAGGGAACTTCCTTAGTCTGGCAAATGGAATCTTAAAAAACAAAAACAAAAACAAAAAAAACCTACAGCTAACAGCATACTTAATGGTAAATGTTGAATGCTTTCTTTCTAAAACCAGATACAAGAGAAGGAAGTCTGCTTATACCACTCCTAGTACTGTACAAGTTGTCCTGGCCAGTAAACTAAGACAAAAAATATACAGTTTGGAAAGGAAGAAATACAGCTGTTTTCATTTTCAGAAGTCAATACATTCTATATAGAAAATTCTAGGAAATATATTTTTTAAAAGCCTACTAGAGCTAATAAGTGAGTTTAGCAAGGTTGCAGGATACAAGGTCAATATACAGAAATTGACTGTGTGTCTATACACCAGCTATGGAAATAAAAATTGTTAAAGTATCATTTCCAATGGTACCATTTAATTCCAAAGGATGCATACTTAGGCATAAAATTTTAAAAAGTATATGAGGATCTGTATGCTGAAAACTACAAAATATTGATGAAAGAAATTAAAGATTTAAATAAATGGAGAGATACACTGTGTTCATGAACTGGAAGACTCAATATTATTAATATGTCAGTTCTCCCTCAAAGATGGCATGGGGGGTAACTATGGACAAGGGCACAGGCAGACCTGAGTTCAGTCCCAGGTCTTCTACTTACTGGCTGCGTGACCAAAGGTAATGAGAGGTAACAATAATACCTAACATATATTGAACTGCGTAGTGTTCCAAGTAATTCTCATAGGTTAACTCACTTTATCCTTTCAGTAGCCTTAGGTAGTAGGTACTTTTATTATTTCCCATTTGACAGATGACAAAACTGAGGCCCAGAGGAGTTAAATAAGTGGTGAAGCCGAGGAGCCCTGACTCCTGAGCCCAGGCTCACCACCACCGTGTGTTCCGCCCGTCACGTCATCTCAATACGCTTCTTACCTCATTTGTAAAATGGAAAAATATGTCCTACCTCAAAGAGTTGTGGGGATGACACACGATGGCAATCCAAGGTGCTTAGCACTGAACCTGGCACATGGTGGGGGCTCAATTGCTTCAGTTTGGTGGCGGGCTTGGTGTCTGTTTATCAAGGAACAGTAGCCGTGTCAGCAGTTCAGCCACTCTGGAACCAACCACAGGTGGATGCAGGAGCATCAGGGACCGTCTCCAGCTTCCAAAGCTCTGGAAACCAGAGCCAGCCGCAGGCAGATCCCTGGCCTTTTCTGCTTCCGCCACACTGAACTGCCGCCAGGCCAGTCGTGGGGATTTGCTGCCCTCTTCTGGTCACCAACTTCAGACGAGAAGGCACAGGAGATGTTCAAAGCGGGCTACTAGCAGGATTGGCTTGTGCCATATGGCTAGGGGAGGAGGGAGCTTAGAGTCTTGTGAAACCATTTGGTTTTCCTCCAAATTTGTAATTAGGACACAAACATACAAACAATAAATAACAGCTTTTAAAAAGAAGTCCATCTCCTTTCTCGCCAACCCAACACAGCCGTTTTCACCGTGCTGTGCT